GTCCATGTTTTAAGAGATTTTTATATGAAGCTGTGATATGATGTTAATAATTTACATAATTAATATATCTTTTGTTTTAGATATCTGTATTATGTAAACTGTATTAAATGCCAAGTAAATAGACAATTACCTGTATAATTTGTTAAATTATAAATAAGTTTTACATGCTTTCTGTAGACAATTGTTGAACAAATGACTTCGACTAAAATGTTTTCAAAATGGATACTATAGAATGTGTTACCATCATCACGAACCAACCTACGAACAAATAAATAATATTTTCGGGTATAAGGTTGTGGTGACCGAATTTAAATCAAAGTTTTCGCGCTGAAATTAATTAACAGCGGCGCGAAATCACATTTGAATAATGTGAATTTGAAAAAAAAAAAAGTTCAATCACGAAAAGGAACTCCTTAAACATAGGCAACCAAATATGCATGGATGGTCTCTTGCACGTAGCGCTTAGGGGTTAGTTTGCATGATTTTGAGTTAGATGGCGGCACATAGCGCTAGGGTGATTTCAGTTAGAGGGTAGGTAGAGGGAAGCAGCATGGCGTAGAATGATTCATTCTGGTGTGTTTTGTGTGAGTGTAACAACGTGGTAAGAGCTAGGTTTAAATTAGTTGGTTTGGTAGTTAATAAAACGGGAGGAAGCCTTTGTTTAACGACGATCAAACGTATTTTTCATAATGATACAGTTGTCCCCAACCCGCGCGGTTAGGTTTATTTTTATTTGTTGTTTTGATTTTAATGATTTCATTATTTTTGACTTTTGGTTCTTTAAATGTTTTTTTATTTTATATTTTTTTTGCGCCCTTTTAATCGGAGAAACACGGACTTCCGGTCGGACGCGAACACGTGCTGTAAATTTGTTTCTTTGTTTATAAATTCACCAATCAAGTTAGTTTTTCTTAATAGTCAGCTAGTGCAAACACAATTTAACAATCAGGATTATTTAAATAAACCATTTGCTGGAAGATTTCATGAAATTCACTTAGTCAGGAAAAACACCTTGTGTTTAATTACGAATAGGTCTCTGGATGCATATACGTAAGTCTTACATTATAACACTTCTAAATTCTTCACACAAGATTGCTAATAGTTCATTTACGGCGGTCAAACAAGTTCATTATACTGCGAACTAGCGGGGGGGGTTATGATATTTTCTCCCCTTAAGGCCGTGTGACACGATGCTAAATTTATGACAAATTTTAGCGAGATAAATTTTGTGCAAAAAATTGTACCGTGTCATACACAATTTACATGCTAAATTTGTGTGCAAATTTTGGTGAGAAATTATTTAGGACACGTTCTAAATACTGACTAAATTTGTTACGAAAACTGCGCAGTACGATAAGGCGCAACCGGTACGACGCCATGATGAAATCAACATAACCAAACAGTTCTTTTGCCCACAAATTGAGCACCCGTTAATCTAAAAAAATTTTGATATGCAGTTGGATCTTCTGGCAACAACTCGGTATTTAACATGTTTAAAATATCTCGTCCTTCTTGTCGCCTTGTTAACCAAGGTCTGCTCCATAGTGAACGTCGTTTTCTTCTTTGAATTTTCCGATTTGTTTTATTGGCATAGCAGCTTAGAACAATACTCGAAGCAGCAATAGTTGTATAAACAAGTATTTCCTCACAATTCATTATAAATGATTAATAAGTAAATAATAAACAAACAAATTGTAGGTTATGTCACAGAGGTTATGTTGAAAAACGCACCTTACCAATCACCATTACCAACATTATTTCTTAAATTCCCGAAAATTTTCACTCACTACGCATGCGCGAATGGTAAATTTACAAGAGAATTTAGTAAGGTGGCATACAGGAGATATATTGTTTAGTTGTAAATTTAGTTACATTTTTTCGAACTAAATTTCGTACAAAAATTTGTCATAAATTTAGCATCGTGTCACACGGCCTTTTGGTGGTTATCATCGTTATCACGATTAATTCATCGGGGCATGCTTCACGACGCCAGATTGATTAATTAATCAATGCATGCCCCCAACGCTACGGAAAATTTATATTACCGAGACGCTTTTTCCTCGCAACGATTTTGGAATTTACATCCCCGAGACGCTTTTTCCTCGGAGCGATGATTGGATATTTTTGTGTTTGTTTATTATGTGTTTTGTTGGGGTAACCAGTTCGTAGTATTTTAAACTCTCAAAGTAAATTATTTTTTTGAAGTAACCAATCACTTAGATCATGTTATAATTTGGTATAATGTAAACTCTTTGTTTGAACCGTTGATAAAGTGTGGCAAATATTAATCTCCTGTAAATTTTGTTAACTCTGCAAATGTTCACCTCATACTATATTTCTTTAATCTCACAATTTTGACCTCAGTAATTTTATTTGTTGTATAAATTTAATTGAACGTAAATTTCATGTTCTACAGTTTTAACCTCACATGATATTTCTATTTGTACAAGTTTATTTCACACCAGATCTTTTGTTGCATAAATCCTTGCTAAGTTTTGTTTGTAAATACTTTGTTGATGAATATTTCTATGATATAAATTAATTGATGTCCAACTTTAATCTCACATAAGAATTATTTGTTGTTTAAAATTTCACAAGATTGTATGGCGAATTTAAATGTTGTGTATTGCTCTTTGTTGAAACTTTAACACTTGTTCGGTTGTCATTTAATATTAGAGTCATAGAGTTTGAACATTTAAATAGAATTGAAGGTAAATAACACAATAACACGTAGTGTCGGCGATGGGCGCAGTTCCTAGTTGCGGTAGCGGAATGTATCGCGCTGTCTGCACAAGACGTGCAGGCTTTGAATCAGATTTCAGTGGGAACGGTCTTGGCGACGAGGTAGTAGTTGACCAGACTTCACCTCTAGTTTTAGGCCGAAACGGCCTGCTTGGACGGCATGTTCGTCATGGAGAGGTGCTGTGCGGCAGGCTTGGTGTAGATAGAATCACCGTCGCGGGGGAAACCAGCCCAGACCGGGAGCTCCAAACTTCGCTCACGCTACGACGCCCCCTCTGGGTATTTTGTTGTGCTCCTGTTAACTGCCGTAACTTAAAAAAAAAAAGGAAAAAGAGATCGGCCGCCACACGCCTGTAATAACTTGTGTATTTGCATCCAGTTACTTGATTCAGATTTTGCTTTGTTTTATTAAATTTGTGATATTCAAATATTTGCATTGATTCCAAACAGATGTACAGAATTTCCGTTTGTTCGTTTTTCGTGTGTGTATGTCTGTCAATTCGCGAGTGTTTTTCTTTCACATATCTTAAGGTGTTTGAAATGTAATATGTCGTCCGGGAATAAAACCAAAAGGGGGTTTTTGCGCTGAGGAGTAAATCTTCGAAGCGTCTTTCCCCCTGTGAGGGGTGCCGTATTCCCCCCTCCAAAACAATTTTTGTCTATTATTTCTTGCGCTCTCGACAGTTTATGCACTTGTATAAAAGAACGTCTTCCCGCCATTTTTCAAAACAAAAAAAAAAACACAACGTAGGTTCCTATTTGTTAGACGATCACAGCCAAGGCCAAACTTTGAATTTTTAAATTTTTCGCGGGCCTTTCAAACTGTTTTCAAGGTCAAATTTTGAGGCGGGAAGTTTGGAATATCACAAGGTCCACGACAAGAGCTACGGTTTTGTATCTAATAAATTAACAAAAAGTTAATTTCAAAAATCTCCCAAGCCCGTCACACTTCGAGCGCTATTTTCTTGTAGCGGTAGTGGTTGTAGCGCTCCACGTGTGGAACGATTTTGATTTTGACCATCTCTAAGTGACACCGACTGAGTAGCCTTTATCAGGGTACTGGACGAAAACTGTGTGGGAAAGTAAATGTGCTGCGCCACCTGGTAGGGGCAAAAATAGGTAGCGGTTGCAATCGAGTGATACGAGGATCCATAAGAGGGCGCTTAGTGTTATATCTATCTCTCTACATGCCTCTACCAGAGAACATAGAAAAGCGACATAAAGGCTGATTTTGCAAAACCACCCTTATTGACACTGGAGTCCTCAACTGCCAAAGGCAAGCGCCAAATTTAAATAGTCGACGCCCATAAAAACCTTGTTTCACTATAATTGTAATTCGTGTGACCTGAATGAAAGTCAAGGAAACGGTAAGCAGCTTGTAATATTCTGGTAAATTTAGTGTCAATTTGTCTGAAATAAAACGCGTCATTAAAAATATTATGACATTTCAACTAGTTACTTTTATCCCTAGTTAGAAACAAACATTGCTACCAACATAAATCGAGGAGTCCGCAACCGTCATTTAATTTAAACTATGGCGCTTCTCTATGTTCTCTGCCTCTACATCAAGGCAGAGAGGCTGTATGGATCTCGTTGTGTGTTCTTACTTTTTTTACTTGTGCTTATAGAGTATGTAATGACAACAATTTTTTTATAACTTTCATATTTAACTCCAACATAACGTTACCATCACAATGTTACATGGTCATCTTCCGGGTTGGAACCGCGTTAATTGAGTTTTTGGGGTCAACGTTTCACACACTTTCGTAAGTGGCATCTTCAGGAGCAGGGTTAAGAATAAGGCAAAAGAGCACGGTAACTCAGTATGTCAATCATACCAGAGACAAAACTCTTTAAAAAAAAAAGAGTTTCACAGCAATCGATCCAGCAATTTCAGAGATTACGTGCATAATAAAATAGCCAACAAATAGATAGAAACAAGAACTCGACGTTCTCATAATGTACAAGCTGTAGAGAAATCAGGGAAGTAGCCATTCACCAAATGCACCCCTTTACAATACTTTCGCAGTTTAATTCCCTAGAAGTACAAAGAAGTATACACAGGATAGCGCAAAAATGTGGTCACTGATATGACATGCAATTAAATTTTGCAATTTCAATAGTACTTTCATTATTTTCTAAAGGGTGATGTTTAGAGTATTAAAGCGAAGAAAGTACTGTTGAAACTGCAAACCTTAATTTCATTTTAAGCATTGACATTTGTAACGAAGTAATTAACCAACACTGAAATGCAAAGGTAAAGAAGAATACATTTTATTGATCAATAACAAAAAAAAAATGAAACATTGTGTTCATAGCTGCTGAAGTCTACAAAAATTATTGAAATATCACGATATTTATTACAGGAAATATGATTAAAATTCGCTTTGATGTGAATTTTACTGCAGTTGTCGTACAGAATTCTTTAAGGTTCTTAGGTTCTTTAAATGTGTTCATTCCGGTCTTTCAGTATCTCAATAATGTCAGAATGACCAAACCTAATAGCTTCCTCTAAAGGTGATTTTCCCCATCTGTCTCGTATATCGCGTGGTACGTTACACTGATTTAAAAGAAAACTCACACATTGAACATGACCCTCTGCCGCTGCTAAATGAAGAGCAGTACGACCATCATAATCAGCTAATGTCATATCCATACCAGATAACTTAAGTCTGAAATTTCCAAATTAAGAATTATCTACGCGGTCTGGCCTTAACTATTACCTTCTCAGTCCAGGTACATCACCGGAAGCAGCCGAAAATAATAAGTTAACGACGTTCATTCCCTTAGTTTCGAATTTGTGTTTTCTAGGATCAGTCTTGTCGGATGCATGAATCAAATTATCGTATCTGTGGAAATTGAATTTTTTCACCAACTCCTATAATACAGATGTGAAAAGTTTCTTGTGTAAAGTAATTAAATTAACAGCCGACCTCACAGAACTGAACTCCTCTGCAGCTGTTACCCAATGGATCCAGAGGTGGCGACCAAAGGCATATTCCCATGACATTTGGAATTACAACTAATAAAGCCCCGCTGACACCTGCTTTTGCCGGTAAGCCAACCTGAAACCAATTAAGTTTTGAAATTTATTTACTATGTCAACGATAGTCACCTTAAACGCAAATTGTCCGGAGTAGTCGTACATGCCACAGCTATGCATTAAAGAAAGCACATCACGGACACTCTCCGACCTCAAAACTTTTTCTTCACTGAGGGGGCAAATACCTCCATTCGCCAAGGTAGCGCCGATTATAGAAAGGGTGTCGCTGTTCATTTCCAAAGAACAACACTGAAACATGAGTTAGTATGCGTGTAAGTTACTTAAAAATTTATAAAAAAATCTAAATACCTGAAAGTAAAAATCCATACATTCTTTCAAGTTAGTGTTTTCAGGAAAACATTTGTGCTCTTTCATATAGTAACCCAACGCATAGTTCCTGTCAGCTGCTTCCCTTTCTGACAAGAAAACAGCATTGTTAAATCCTAAATCTTCACCTCCTGCTAACCTCTGAAAATTAAGAATATATACTATGAATTAAAAGAAAGAAGCAATTTGTGTACTGGATGATAGAATGTGCATTAATTATCTGTGGATATACCAAAACAAATATGATTTGTGGGACACCGAATTTAGTGATTTCAAAATGTTCACTTATTTTGACACAAGGAATAACTACAACTATAAAGTCTTTCCAGAAATAATTACCACTTTTTCAAATGGAGTTTTTAGTACTTCAAATCTTCTGTGTTGGTGAAAGTTTGATCTCCCATTTCCGTCTGTCTGTCTGTCTGTATCGATTTTTGTTAGACAGATAATCTCCGAAACTATCAGACCAATTGTTGTCAAATTTTATTTTACACGTTGGAAATATCATGTAGTTCGTAAAACACTAACTAAAATTTGGTTAATCATTCCCACCAACAACAGAATGACGTAATCTCCAAAACATTATTTAAACTTTACACAACAAGATACTCCTACGCTTGTTTAATTTTATTATTATGGCCCACCACTGAGCCGGAAATGACCGGCATTCAGGCAAGACTTCTATCATTACGGGTATTAAAACCAAGTAATAATATGCATTGATTAAGATTAATCAAAACTTTTGATATCTCAGAATTATAACATTCTAATCTCTGATCATTTATCCGTGCATCACTTGAATATTGACCTACATTACTCTGACCTACTAGTGCTAATCTATTCTGATTGACATGATCAGACTCTTCGAGAAACTTACGAACAATTTGACATGCAGTGGCGTAGCTAACTTCCACTGCGCCCCCCCGCACTTTATAGTAAGCACATCCATACACCAAATTTAAAAAGTAATATAAATATGTACTTACTCGTTTGCACATTTTAAAAAAATATATCGGTTACGTTACGGTCTGCGCCGCCTTTAGCGCTGCGCCCTCCCGCATTGCGGGGTCTGCGGGGATGCTATTTACGCCACTGATGACATGTTTCTAACAAAACAGCTTTTTGCATTTTTACAATTATTGAATCATATAAATATTTCAAATCCTCAACTGAATTATTTGATACTATACCTACATTGGAGATAACTAAAGAATTTTCTCAAGATTTAGCAAATTTTACTGTGATATGTTTGTGTTATATTGTGTGTGTTAGGAACAGCAATGTCATTGAGAATGGGTTTATTGGTGTGTTTTTGTTTATAAGTATGATATCTGTAATGTTTCTGTCTGTAAGTATTGTGTGATCCAAGTATAGCTTGTATTCTATATTTTCAAGGAATGAAGATGGAATATAAATGTAATAGGCTTTAGTATCTTGGAGTAAGTTTAGATTTATTGCTAAGTCTTTGTGAATTATTTTGGCTGCGTTGTTGTGCCCGCTTTGTAGTCAGTTTGTGCCAGGATGCTACAGGATGAAGTTCTGTGCTGAATCGTTTCAAGTTTTTCTTTTTTCAAATTAGGATTTTAATCGTTAACTAGTTCTAACACAATTTAACAAACATTAGATTTGTTCAGACAAACACTTACTAGGAGATTTCATGAAACTCACTGAGTCAGGACTCGTTTGATTTTGTTTGTCTAATTACGAATAACGTTTCTGGATGCCAGTACTTGAGTGTTACATTATAACGCTTCTTAAATTCTTCACACAAAATTGCTAATAGTTCGTTAACGGCAGTTGAATTAACAAAATTCATAATATCGGAAACTGACGGGGGGATAAAAGATTTTTCTCCTTAGGCAGTTGACTTTGTTGTTATCATCATATCATTATCACATCACCGAGACCTACTTTCTCGCAATGTTTAAGATTACGTCACCGAGGCATTTCCTCGCGACGTTAAGATTACATCACCGAGCCATTTCCTCGCAACGTGGAAAATTGCATCAGCATTTCCTTGCAACGTGGAAAATTACATCACCGAGGAATTTCCTCGCAACGCTAAAAATTTCATCACCGAGACTCTTATTCCTCGCAACGCTGACTGGATATTTTTGTGTTTATTTAACATATGTTTTGTTTGGGGTGAACATTTCACGATATAAACCGTCAAAACAAATTGTTTTAAGTAAGCAATCACTGGGATCAAGACATAATTTAACATAACGTAAACTCTTTGTTTGAATCATTGATAAAGTGTGGCAAATATTAATCTCACGTAAATTTGTTAGCTTTGCAATTTGTCACCTCATACAATATTTCTCTATTTCACAATTCTAACTGCAGTCATTCTCTTTGTTCTATAATTTAAATTGAATGTAAACTTTCACGCTCTGCAGTTTCTAGCCTCACGTAATATTTTTGTTTGCGCAAATTTTATTTCACACCAGATCGATTTGTTTTTATAAATCTTTGCTAGTGTTGTTTTGTAAATATGTTCTTGATGAATGTGTCCATCGTATAAATTATCTGATGTCCAATTTTAATCTCACATAAGAATTATTTGTTGTTTAAAATTTCACAAGATTGTATGGCGAATTAATTGTTGTTTATTGCTCTTTTGAAACTTTGACACTTGTTAAGTTGTAATTTAATAGCAGTTATAAAGATTGTACATATAAATGGAATTGAGGTTAAATAACGCCGCAATACGTGGTGGACGCGGAGTGCGCTGTTCTTAGTCGAGCTGGCGGGATTTATCGCGCGACCTGCAGAAAATCAAGGCCAAATTTTGAATTTTTAAATTTTTCACGGGGTTTCAATTTTTTTTTTTCACATGTCAATTTAAGGCGGGATGTTTGGGTTATCACAACACCTAAAAATATGTATGCAATGATAAATCATACGTAAAAACTCATCATATTTTGCACATTTTGGGTAGAATTTATGGCAAAATTTTGAAATGACGTCATCAATTTTTTGGAGGGAATAAACAAATATATTTTAATTAACAATTTACCATGCTTACAATAACTTTAAAACGTCTGCAAGATTTCAAAGTATTAAGTTTTGCAATTCTTGATTTATTCAATAAAATAAATCGATTGATTCATTACTGTTTTTGAGCTACCCTGTAAACTAAAAAACTAAAAAATATGAATGCAACGATAAATCACAAGTATAGACTCATCATATTTTGTACATTTTAGATAGGACTTATTCGGCAAAATTTTGAGGTGACGTCATCAGTTTTTTTACGGGGGATGATCAAATACATTTTGATTAAAAATTGATCATGCTTATCATAACTGTAAACCATCTGCAAGATTTCAAAGCATTCGGTTTCGCAGATACCAAAATAAAATTCAAAATGTTACTTTTGTAGCGGAGCTTTCAAAGCGCTCCGCTAGTACCCTCTCGAGGGCGCTGTCCTCGGCAGCGCCGATATCAACCCCACCAAGCTCACCCCCACTGGAACGCACCCCACCTGAAGTTACTTCATTGTGCAGGTACTCCCACGCATCTCAACCCTGCCTATAAAAGGGCAACTCGGACGCTTTCCAGGCAGATGGAACTCCACCATCTCCACCTTAAGGGCTGCACTGTCTCGGTCCCCTTCTGGTGATCACCAGGGCTGCACTGTGTTACGGTCCCCTGCGCCGCTTCGAGATTATCACCAGGGCTGCACTGTTTACGGTCCCCTGCGCTGCTTCGAGATCTTCACCAGGGCTGCACTGTTTTACGGTCCCCTGCGCCGCTTCGAGATCATCACCAGGGCTGCACTGTTTTACGGTCCCCCTGCGCCGCTTCAACGACGTCATCTCCAGGGTCGCACTCTCTAGGTCCCCTGTGCCGCATCGCCGACGTCTTCATCTCCAGGGTCGCACTCTCTAGGTCCCCTGTGTCGTATCGCCGACGTCGTCATCTCCAGGGTCGCACTCTCTAGGTCCCCTGTGCCGTATCGCCGACGTCGTCATCTCCAGGGTCGCACTCTCTAGGTCCCCTGTGCCGTATCGCCGACGTCGTCATCTCCAGGGTCGCACTCTCTAGGTCCCCTGTGCCGTATCGCCGACGTCGTCATCTCCAGGGTCGCACTCTCTAGGTCCCCTGTGCCGTATCGCCGACGTCGTCATCTCCAGGGTCGCACTCTCTAGGTCCCCTGTGCCGTATCGCCGACGTCGTCATCTCCAGGGTCGCATTCTCTAGGTCTCCTGTGCCGCACCGCCGACGTCGTCATCTCCAGGGTCGCACTGTCCAGGTGCCCTGTGCTACATACATCGCTGCCGTCATCCCCTACGACGCTCTGAGTCCCAGGAGCCGCCACCATCCCCGACGAGAATTGCCACCACTTCGATAACCCATACCCATATTTTGCTTTGTATTGTTTGCTTATTATCAATAAACCGCTGAGCTACCACAATCTGTCGCCCTAACGTGGGGCCTCGAACAAGGAAGGATACCACACTTTATAATTTTGATTTTTTTTCCAAAAATCTGGACGTTTCGGATAAAAACTCAATACGGCACCATAAATTATAGGTGTAGGACTATGTTATTTTATACATTAAAACCCATTTACTATGTACAATTTTGAAATGACGCCATCACAATATTGGTGTAGATGATTAGAAAAATTTTGGTTAGCGTTTTACCATCTACATGATATTCCTAATATAAATACAAAATTCGGTCCAGTACTTTCGGAGATTATCTATCTAATAAAAATCCGGGACGGCAGACAGACAGACGGAAACGAGAGACTTATTTCTTTGTCCTCTAGGGGTCATGAAAGGTCGAGAAAACGTAATAGCAGAGAGTCGGCCGACGGACTCGATTACAATACTTCCTTTGCTTACGCTCGGGAAGTAAAAAATATGTCATAAGAAACTTGTCAAAATTGGTCAATACGAACATATTTTTATTGGTATATGTATGCACTTAGTGAGCCTAATATTACATATGATTTGATATGCGGGGGAGTCGAAACAAATAGTATATGAAAGAACGAGTTTCACAAGGCAAATATTAAGGCACGAATCCAAGTTTATAGAACGAGCGGCGAAGCCACGAGTTATATAAAGGATGAGTGCCACAATGGGCTTATGAACGAGTTATTTATACTATTTTTTCTACCGCGCACGTTTTTTCGTAAAATTTAATTCAAATTTGAGTTTTTTTTTAAATTTGGGGAATTTTGTCGTGGTTGGTGATAGTTTGGTATGACACGAACCACGAAACATTTGAAGTTCGAATTTTCACAACAACAATTGTAATTCGAATCAATTCAAGTTTGAGATATTAATGTGAACAGGTAAGCATGGCATAGTAGTTCCACATAACAAAGGGTCGGAGTAGTAAACTGGTATTATTGTTAATTAAATTGTTACGATTATACTAACTTCCCTAAGTATTTAGCGAAAATTATTAAATTATGTTTTCTAATGGATTAAACTTACAACAAAATAGTTTAATGTGTAGTCAAACTTTTCAGCCAAAGTCATTTCAGGATCTGCTATTGTTTTCAACAGGGCGGAAACCAAAATCGCGCCAGCATTAATCATTGGATTATGCGGTTTCTCTAAAAAATTAGTATAATACATAGGTACACATTAGCAGTGAGGAGATTTCTTACTGTTATAGTCCAAAATAAGCTCGTTGAAATTTCGACCGCTCGGTTCTTGGCCCACATATTTGTGGACTGTGTGTGCCCCTAGTAGATCCAGCGCAATTCCGTACGTCAATGGTTTACTACATGACTGCACCGTAAACGGGATGTTGACATCCCCAATAGAGAATCGTTGTCCATCTATTGTGCACACGCTCACCCCCCAATAATTTGGATTTATGCGTTTCAATTGAGGGATATACCATGCCACCTAAAAGAAAAACTGTAATTTTTAATAGATCTTAACGAATTCTCACTTTTCCATTATTGTTTCCTTTGCATTTCCAATAGATTTCTTCAATTTCTTTACAAAAGTCTTGGAAATCGGGGATTATAAATTGATGACGAAAGGCGCGTGAAATCAGTCCTATGCTAGGCGACACGATGCTGCAACGCATGTATTTTAATCAAACAAATTGTTTGCAGTTTATTTAATTATTCAAGACCTTGATAGCGTGTTATGATTTATATACCTCCTAAAAGTTTCCAAACTCAATTTTTGCATGTCAGCCTCGTTTTCGACTTGCTTCAATATTAGCATTGTTTCTCGCAAACGAGGATCAGTCTTGCGAATACCCGTCGCTTGCAATTCCTGCAAATAACAATTCAATATAAAATTCATTTATGTGAAAAAACACGTACTGTAAGAAATTTGCCGATCGAGAGGAACCCAGTGTCTTGGCTTTTGAACATATCGAACAGGACATCTTCTCTCCTGTGCTCCGTACTTTAGTACATACAGAAATACAGTTTTCGTAATCCCATAGTATTATTTCAATTTTACGGAACTCAAGTGACAAATGAAAAGTCATCCATAACGGCCGCCAGCCGTTAAAGCGTATAACGGCCGACAGCTGTTACGGTTTTACAATAATAAGCAATTTGTTATAGTAACGAAGTTCAAAATATGGCATGCTATTTTTTAGAATTTGAATTTTTTTTCCGAACCCAAAATAAAAATTTAATTTACATGGAATACATATGGGATTACGAAAAGTATTGAACGACACACGGCCGAAGCGCAAATAGCGGACTCGGTTGATTGTAAACCTCGGCTTCGCCTGGGTTTACAAACTTAAACCACGTCCATTATTTGCTCGTTTTCGGCCTTGTATCGTTATATACTATATTGGTCCAAAGGTTAACAGAAAACGTATGAGAGAAAATACTTACTAACGCTTGTAATTGGTGTTGTGAATAAAGGAGTACTTTCGTCTGTAATTAAAAAAAGAAATAAAACAATAATTTAAATTATTGAAAACTGTCGCAAATTTACCTATCTCCTTTAGACGTATTTATAAATTTTTGGACCCCTTCCTAAAATGCAGCCTGGTCTGTATATGTTTAAAAATAGTTACTACATTCCTTACCTCTTTCTTCGATGAACTGTTGACCGATGACAGTAATTTTGTTGCTGCAATTCCAATAATCGACACATTCAGCTGATATTGATTTAAAGTAAAAACTGAAGTTCTAGATACTAAACTATTCATTTTGTTAAAAATTCGAGGTTTCAAATTCGATGTGTGCTTCGTAAAGCAGCGCCACACTTCGCAGAGAATCGCGGCTAATGTTATAATACTTTACTTTTCAGTTAGATTTTAAACATGGGAGACCGCCATCTGTTGGTCTATGTGACCAAACCGTGTTCACTCATGCTAGTCACATCATATTGCAAACATTCACGCGCTCGTAATTTACACATTTCATTACACATAACTTCCCCCGCCTCTGAAACCACAACCCATACCGCATGGTGGCAATAAATCTTAATTATTTAATACTACACTACTCCTCGTAATTTTGGAAAACCAATGTTTCATTTGCTGCATTCTTAGGGTACGTGTCCACTGGAGAGCAACTCTCACGAGAGTTTTGCTTTTGATTTTATAGTCTTGGCTGCATACTCAGAAATTCAAAGGATTTTGTGAATATAAAGACGTTAATTTCACTTTTTATTGCACTGGTTAGAACCAAAATGGAGTAGACGCAAATGTGGTCTGGTTCCCTTACTATAATATAGGTATAAGCAATATTGAAAAGGTACAGCGTAGATTCCTTAAATATCTGTATTTTAAACAGGAGAGAAAGTATCCTCCCATTGGATTTCCACAAATTATACTTTTGGAGAGATATTCTATGACAGCATTAGAAAACTGTAACAAAATATTTTTGGCAGTAACTATTTATTAGGTTGTCAATAACAGATTAGATTGTCAAGACATATTGAGAAGAATATGTTTTAATGGAAGTCCTAGATTACTTTTATCTAGAACACCGGAGTTGTTTGCGTTACCAACACCTAGAACGAATGTTCTGAAGTTTTCACCAGTGTATAGAATGTGTTACATAGGAAACTGGCTTAATCGTATTAAGCCAGTTGGATATTTTTAATACAAATATGTGTATCATTAAGAACTTAAAGTATGAATCCGTTGAAATATATTCCATAAATGGGGTTCGCCCTCTCGAATATATAAGAATAATAATAATAATCAAAGTTTCAAGGAATGAGGTCTCTGAGATAATCTCCAGGATTTGGTTGCTTTTTTCTGAATAATTCGAATAAGTAAATTTAAAAGTGAGGATGCGTTCTTATACAATGCGTAAATCAACATTATTAATTATTGTTATTATTAATGAAAGATAAAGAGCAGAGGGCAAACCCTGTTATGCTCATGGAACTGTGCAATTGCAGTTGTGCGAAAGTTCTCCTTTTCCAGTTTGAAGCTATGACCTCTACTTCTGAAGTATGGGCATAACCCTGTTAAAAATGCCCAATCAAATCCAATCAAAATTATTTTGGGATCGCCCAATATAAATTAGATTGGGTACGCCCAATCAAATCCAATCTGCGAGTAGTCCGCACGCCAATGGCACAAAGAAGGTAAAAAAAGGCCACCACAATGGTCACGTGGTACGCAAGCAAACATATTATCACCATTATAGCGAACAATAAAACTTTTTTAAAAAACAACCCTTTTACGCGGGTTTAAGTGTTAATATTATCCGAGAGAAGTATATTTTTGGGAAAAAATTCTGTGTTCGACACGATAACGTTTACAGCGATAAGCATACCAAAAAAAAATTGCATAATAGTTTCTACAAATTACCAACCCCAATAAGGGGGTCAACGGAGAACGTAACCACCCACTTCGATGAGAAGTCGTAAAGAAACACATTACGGAACCATTTTGCATCCTACGGCAACGATACGGACCGTAGGTGCCTCAATTTCACGTTTAAACGACGGTCACAGTGTCGCCCAATCTGGCCCAATCAAATCCAATCCCAAATTGGGGGCGCCCAATCAAATCCAATCTGCGAATAATTCGCACGCCAATCGCACAAAGAGGGTAAAAAATGACCACCACAATGGTCACGTGGTACGCAAGCAAACATATTATCACCATTATAGCGAACAATAAAACTTTTTTAAAAAACAACCCTTTTACGCGGGTTTAAGTGTTAATATTATCCGACAGGAGTATATTTTTGGGAAAAAATTCTGTGTTCGACACGATAGGATTTATGACGATAAGCATACTCAAAAAAAAATGCATAAATATTTTCCTGCGTATTAGCAACCCCCATAAGGAGGTCGACGGAGAACGTAACCACCCACTTCGATGAGAAGTCGTAAAGAAACACATTACGAAACCATTTTGCATCCTACGGCAACGATACGGACCGTAGGTGCCTCAATATTACGTTTAAACGACGGTCACAGTGTCGCCCAATCTGGCCCAATCAAATCCAATCCCAAATTGGGGGCGCCCAATCAAATCCAATCTGCGAATAATTCGCACGCCAATCGCACAAAGAAGATAAAAAATGACCACCACAATGGTCACGTGGTGCGCAAGCAAACATATTATCACTATTATAGCGAACAATAAACCTTTTTTAAAAAACAACCCTTTTACGCGGGTTTAAGTGTTAATATTATCCGAGAGAAGTATATTTTTGGGAAAAAATTCTGTGTTCGACACGATAACGTTTACAGCGATAAGCATACCAAAAAAAAATTGCATAATATTTTCTACAAATTACCAACCCCAATAAGGGGGTCAACGGAGAACGTAACCACCCACTTCGATGAGAAGACGTAAAGAAACACATTACGCAACCATTTTGCATCCTACGGCAACGATACGGACCGCACGTGCCTCAATATTACGTTTAAACGACGTTCACAGTGTCGCCCAATCTCGCCCAATCTGCGAATAATTCGCACGCCAATCGCACAAAGCAGGTAAAAAATGACCTCCACAATGGTCACGTGGTACGCCAGCAAACATATTATCACTATTATAGCGAACAATAAAACTTTTTTAAAAAACAACCCTTTTACGCGGGTTTAAGTGTTAATATTATCCGAGAGAAGTATATTTTTGGGAAAAAATTCTGTGTTCGACACGATAACGTTTACAGCGATAAGCATACCAAAAAAAAATTGCATAATATTTTCTACAAATTACCAACCCCAATAAGGGGGTCAACGGAGAACGTAACCACCCACTTCGATGAGAAGTCGTAAAGAAACACATTACGGAACCATTTTGCATCCTACGGCAACGATACGGACCGTAGGTGCCTCAATTTCACGTTTAAACGACGGTCACAGTGTCGCCCAATCTGGCCCAATCAAATCCAATCCCAAATTGGGGGCGCCCAATCAAATCCAATCTGCGAATAATTCGCACGCCAATCGCACAAAGAAGGTAAAAAATGACCACCACAATGGTCACGTGGTACGCAAGCAAACATATTATCACTATTATAGCGAACAATAAACCTTTTTTAAAAAACAACCCTTTTACGCGGGTTTAAGTGTTAATATTATCCGAGAGAAGTATATTTTTGGGAAAAAATTCTGTGTTCGACACAATGAAATGTATAACTGTAATCATGATTAAAAAAGTTATATAAATATTTTGTATAAATTAGCAACCCCTGTAAGGGGGTTGACGCTGAACGTAACGACCCACTTTGATAAGAAAACGTAAAGGGACACATAACAATTATTTTTTATTCTATGGGAATGGTCCTGACCAGACTTGGCTCAATATTGCGTTTAAACGACATTCATAGTGTCGCCCAATCAAATACAATCTGCGAATAATCCGCACACCCATCTCACACAGAAGGTACACACAGGGTGGTAATCTGGTACGCAAGCAAGCATATTATCACCATTTTAACGAATAATAAAACTTTTTTAGAAAACAACCCTGTTACGGGGTTTTAAGGGTTAATACTGCACCACCGGAGTATACTATTGGAAAAAAATTCTGTGTTCGACACAATAAAATGTATAACTATAAACATGAGAAGTTAGATATTTTGTATAAATTAGCAACCCCTGTATGAGGGTTGACGCAGAACGTACTGACTCACTTAATAATAATAATAATAATAATCGTAATTTATTATCCAACAGACAAAGATCTATGTGGATACTTGTACATAACTCCGGATAAGTATACACAAATACATATAACAAAAAAAGAAAGAAATCAATACAAAACAATTATATAACTAAACACTAATCACTAAAAAATTATATAACTCAACATGCAGGAATGTCAACTACAGTGGCGTAAGAACTGCATTTTTACACAGATAAGTGAAATGTTTGATATTCTGTAAAAAGATGTCAGCAAGAGGAGTAATATTATTGTAACTTCTGCACATATTATATAACGGCGAATAGAAATGTTGATTAGTTCTACACCAATCTATTGCAAATGTTCCAGCATATCTACAATTTAAGCGCGGTATGTGAAAACTAAGATTACCAAGCAGATTTTGTGAAAAAATTTTCCCGTGAATCAGCTGATGTAAAAATATATTTGCCACCGTTCTTCTATCCTTCAACGAGTATAGATTAAATTCATTGAAAAGAACTACGCTCGAACAAGTTCTTACGGGATATCTGCCGAATTTAACATAAAATAAATGTTTACAAAATTTTCTTTGAATACGCTCTATTGAAGATATATGAATTTTGTAGTATGGATCCCATACGACGGATGAATATTCCAGTTTAGAACGAATAAATGAATAATATAATACAAGCAAAGAATCAACATTGGTAAAACCGACAGTATTTCTTATAATAAACCCTAACATTCTATTAGCATGATCACAAATATGTTGAAAATGGGGTATAAATGACAATTTTGAATCAACCACAACACCAAGGTCTTTAATTTGGAATATTCTATCTATTTCTGTATCGTTTAATTCATACTTAAATTGTGTAGTATCAGGTGATCTAGAAAAGGTTATTACTTTACATTTGGCTACATTAATATTTTGTTTATTATTGTGACACCATATAATAAAATTATTAAGATCATTTTGAAGCGAGTAACAATCATCAAGCGTGGTAATAGTTTTAGCCACCTTCATGTCATCAGCGTACACAAAGATAGGACACTTAAATTCTAAAAGTGCGTCATTGAAGTATATAATAAATAAAATAGGTCCAAGGTTTGACCCTTGCGTTACACCACTCGTAGTTACATAAGTTTGAGAGCGAAAACCACGGTACTCAACATACTGAATGCGATTACACAAAAAGGATTGAAATAACTTTATTAAATTACTA